GGGCGGAAAATTGAAATTCAGTATTTATAATGTAAACTGTAAACTACAAACCTTAATTTTTTACTTTTGAGTTAATTTTGGAAGTTTTCAATAAGTTCAGCATATTCAACGTAAAATTTTGATGATGAAACAAGTATTCTAGTGGCTTAATTCTTACCTTGTCTTGTGGTCCAATATAATGCACACGTTTTTAAATCAAAACCCTCCTCTAGTGTTTACGCGGATAAGGCCTACACAAAATTAGCAGATAGTCATTGTGCATATATGTCCCGCGCATGTGTCTGTGCGTCGAGAGACTGACCTACAATTTACAGGGAAGTTCTCACCGAGGCGCATAGAGGAGAGAGTGATTGGCTGAAAATCATCCGCGGATCAACGAATCGGCAGCTTGAAGTTCAAAAGAACCGCACAGTTTACAAAAGCTTCATTTACTGGGACCATTTAACGCTGCTGTCAAAACCCAATGACGAGTGTTTATCATGATTCCATCATTTAGGGAGGAATTGAATATCCTATCCTATTTTCATGCAATCTAGGGCATCGTCGAACACAAGTTTTACACGAAAAAAAAAAAAACCGCATTGAAAACGAAAAAGTAAGTTTTGTAAAATTTCCGAGTAGGACGGATGTTTATCGATGATTATTTACAGAGAGTAAAATTGAAAAAGTTTCCAGGATATTGGCCTTTCTGATCAAAATAATTCGAGGCATTTCAGTTTTTTCTAGAGGAAGTGTTTTACATTTTTCGTTTGGGGGATTGGAAAAGCGTTGTTTTGTAGTAAGTATAGAGATAAAAGTCACACGCAAAAACTCAAATTGGCATTTCGTCAAATATCCATGCAGCAAGCCAAATTTCGATCATTAAAAAGTTTCGTATGTTTTTAACGGAGAGAACTCGAGTTTTCAAGGCTTGAAAGTGAGAATTCATCAAGTTTACTTACTTTTCTTTCTATTTTCTATCCGATCGTTCTTCACATATTGTATTGTCAACATTTTAAGAATTCTATGTTTCGAGACACGTTTCGAATTTCACCAAAAACGCTTGTTTAAGGACTAAAAATAATTATTTATTGTATTATACTAGCATCTATGAAGTATTATTTCCTCCATATGCAAATAATTATTGTATTCAAAAATGTCAAAATAATCAGGAGTTCAATCTAAGTGAGACTATTTGCCAAGCCATTTGACTCCTGCTTTGACTAGAGTTGGCTTGCGACTCATAGATGCTTTTAAGTTGAAAAACTAAATCGAAGGTCTTGTGCGGCAGGTGGGATAGGTGCGGCTTCTAAAAATTATTTAATTTAATTGTAAGACTTGTCTTGAAATATATTGCGTAAAAAGTTTACTACTAGGATCCAATTTTTAAGCATCAAAAAATGAGTTCGAACTTTCTTTCCGCCATAAGGTTACATGTAATATAGACACTTACAACACGCACTTTTAAAAATACCAAAAACTGCGCTTAAACAGCTTGCCCTTCTAGTCCCTCAATTCTATGCAACTTCAACACAATGAAAAGGCATCGGGTCCACTGTGCGAGGCTCCACCACCATCTCGCTTTACCGGGCGGCGCGGCGCGGTGTAGCACGTAAGGGAACAGGGTAAGGTTGCACCACAAAACTAGCATCTTCAACAGGTTCACTATAAATACCGCGGATCCACCGGTATCGTTACCATTCCGTTTTTACTTCGACAACTCCACCGGACACCACCATGGCTTTTAAGGTACGTACGTGTCAGTGTTTGTGAATGTGAAGTGCTCGCAAATTGGATTTCAGTGACGACCACCGGACGATTCAGGACTTTTTTGGAAATTCAGTGCAGTGAAATTTTGGCGCGATTTGGGACTTCCCTTACTGACTGTTTACTTACCGGTACAACATGCAAAGCGTTTTCAAGTTTGAGCTTTTTGAAAGCTCGGAGGCCATTTTTCAATACCTCTTTCAGAAAATTAAAAGGCTCGGTTATTGATAATTTGGTTGGTGTGTAGTGATGTTTTTCTATGGCACCAGTGTTCCGTTTAAATATAGTTAAAATATTAGGCTGAAAATCGCAAATAAGTACGGTAAAATGGGCAATTTGTATGATTGACTTTAATTATGACTTTTTCGAGTTGTATACATTCGCGCAACTACACTTTTAGAGAGAAACCAGAGCTTTTTTTCTGACAGTGGGGAGTATTGCTCGTGAGTTGGTGCTGGACGAAAGTAGTGGTAATTTGTGTGGAATTTTTTGCCAATTGCTCACTAACATGTAGATCCCACTTTCAAAAATAAAAAGATGCCGCACAGTTACTTCTCAATGCAAAAACTTTTTTTTACGAAATTCTCATTTTCGTCTGGTAGGAAAGTTAAGGGGGAATGAATGAAGTTGGGCAGGGAACTTTGAAAGTTCAATCATAGAAATGAAAAAGAGCATTTGCGTTTTACTTACACCTTTTGATTAAAGTACGCAGTCTGACTGCTACTTACCTGAAACAAAAGAAAAGCACGGTAAAGTTAGTTTTGATTGGATGTAATTACACGGGTGCAAAAGAGCAAAAACAGTTCAAAATAATGAGCTAGAGGTTGTTTCATACTAATGTACACATGCATGTAATGGTTGTAACTAATGTATGGACTACATTTTGCAAATTCGGAACTATAATGTCTGACTCATCTGTAAAAACACTTGTGTGCTTAGGGAAACTAATGGTACATACGTTGTTTCTCAACTGAGCCAGAAATTACAGTTCCTAATTGCAAAATGTAGTACATATATATCTACTTCCGTTTCTTCCCGTTTTTCACATCACAGTAGAAAAAAGCCCATAAATTCTTTTAACCTAAAAAGACTTGAACGCCGAGTAGAAAAATGTGGAAAAACAGATGAAGATCATACTGAGCTGCAAAATATGAAACTGGACTAAAAATGTATGCTTATTATTCGAATGATTTTTTTTAAAAAAAGAAAAAAAAATATTTACAAAATTATAAAATAAATTGTAGTACCAGATTTTACCTGATACACCGATTCGCGTACAAGTTTTTTTTTTTTTCTTTTTCTTTTTCTTTTTCTTTTCCTTTTTTAAGGAAATAACTTTCCGAGAATAGTAATCGGTATTGGTATAGCTGAAATTCATTTAACAAACACTAATACACAACTAAAAAACTCCAAAGATTCGTTCCAGTGCTCTATGCAATCTACACTCACACATCCGCATACGTTATTCGAAAATGTGAAAAAGTTTTTTTCCATCCATCCTCACAACGCAGTGACAAAATTTACTTTCAGCCAGACAAATCTAATCTATGTTTCGTTGGTCTAATCGAATCTGAATTGCCCGTTACTAAAGCTGCGTACTACGCTCCTGAAAATGTCCATGTTTGCTCATTTAATTTAAGGAAAAATAGGGACTCCAAATTTGGTGCAGAACTTCTTTTCTCCTTTTCTTAAGACAATGATACTTTCCTCCTTCTATGGAAACCCGAAACTAGTTGGAAATTTCTTGGGGGCTCTTTAAAATTCAAATGATTTTAAAAGATATTTGTTGATTAAATAGATATTTTAAGTTGATTTTAAATATTTAGCGTGAATCGTTGGAGCTTAACAGTAAAAATATCTTCCATCTAACCATTCAGATAGATAAAATATTACAAATTACAGACAAATTTGGTATGCCACTTCAAAAATAGCGGGGAAACTTTAATTTTTCAGCATTTTCACACTCGTTTTTTTGGGGAGATATACGTTGATGCGATAACGCGCCGCATGTTGTTGTAACTGAGGAGAATATTTGTTAAACGGAGGAATAAGCGGGCGCTTCTCTGTCTCACCTTCCCGGCCAAAGTCAAGGACCGAAAATCTCTCCCCAACTGCTGGTCTAAAGTTACAGAATTTCAGATAGATATTTCGTGTAAATATGTTGCAAAATTCACATTACAACCCCTTTTTTTGAAAGCTGGCTTATGAAAAGTATAATTTTTGTAAAAGTTGTGGTGCTCAGGAAGAAGTAAAGTAAATTGGAGCCCAGAATAACGAAAAGCTTGTACGGCGCTGTGCTGTACCTTCCCTCGTAATCCGTGCGGTTCCCTTTCGCAAGCAAAACCTTTTACCCTATCGTTCCCTCAAAACCTAGCAAAGATCAAGCTGAGTAAATTTACATCACGAATCTTTTTCGTGATAGTCTTTTGGGATTAGCTCTTGCAAAAGCTTGCTTCCAACTTCCGAACCTCCATCTTTGGTTAATACCTGTGCTTCACCTGGATTTTCACCGGGAACAGGAAGCCTGAAGTTTTTCTTCCTCCATTAGCCTCAATTTTAAGGCCAGACTTCAAAGACTGACTGTTTTCATGTTCATAATATTCTTTTTCTAATTAAAATTTTTGACAGTATAATTTACGATTATATAATTCTGAACTATAATACTGAGTTCCAACCAATTTCTGCGACCCCATATTCGACTTGGTGCAATTTTGCTATGGACTTAACCCACATGATATTGTGCTGTCTAACAAATTACTGAAGAGATTATGCCTCTTCCTAACGTCATTTCAAGTAAAATCGTTTTTATCATTTCATCTAACGTCATTTCTCATCTGATTTCAGATTGCTCTTCTCGCTGCCGTTTTGGCGATAGCTTCTGCTAAGCCTGCCCCGCAGGTCTACCAGACAGTAGCCCACGCTCCGGTCGCCTACCACGCCCCAGTCGCCACCTCCTACGTCTCACCCTCCGTCGCCACCTACCACGCACCCGCAGTCGCCACCGCCTACCACGCTCCTGCAGTAGCCGCCTACCATGCACCTGCAGTCGCCACCGCCTACCATGCTCCTGCAGTGACCGCCTACCACGCACCTGCAGTCGCCACCGCCTACCACGCTCCCGCCGCCGTAGCGACCTCCTACCACGCCCCCGCTGCCGTGGCCACCTACCACGCACCAGCCGTC